CGTTTTTTTGTTTGTTGGTGGGGGGGGAGGGGGGAAGTGTAGGTGTAGTTACACAGATTTCCCATATTGGGAATGCCCTGCCCAGAAGGACCCCAAGCAGTAACTGTTTGCTTTTTCACATGGCGACAGAGAACAACATTCACCCTATGCTGCTTATTTCCTGGGTGCAGCTCGTGAAGGTATGCCGCACACTTTAAATGGATCACCATCTATTAACAAGAGGAAAGAACCTTCAGGTTGTCAGAGATGCAAGTTAACAAAACTCCTTGTTGGGTCTTAAGATTAGAAAAAGCATCCATACACACAACTTAAATAGCTCTGAAACATGTTTAAAAAAAAAAAACAAAACGCAATAAACCAAACACAACACAAACCAGGGCCAAACGTTCATTACAGATAATCTGATTAAGTTTGGTGGAGCTAATAAAGCTAAAAGGATTTCCAGTTTTCTGAGCACAGGAGTGCCTTTGTCCCTCCTGCATGAACTATCGCTACCTTTTAAGTTAGCTAAAATTATTTAGCACTGCTTTTACATCTTCAGACTCAGGCCTAAAATACTTTAATCACATTTTTAGGGCTTTGGGTTTCTTTTTTTTTTTTTTTTTAAACAGTTGAAGACTTTGGTAAAGCTAGCAACAAACCTCTGCTTTGGGCCAGTACTGTATTAGTGGCTGGAGGAGTATATACGGGAGGTACAGCCTAAATAAAAGATTGAATCTATTCAAGACAGATCTAGAGTATTGTCACCACAGATCAGGTAAGGGGCCTGCTAGGCAGTCCAGCCTTGACTAACAATTCAAAACGCTGCAGACAAGTCTAGCCCTTCAGACCTTAAAAACACAGAAAACTCACAAAAGCCTGTTCTTATCTATCTTCCTGGGTAATTAGAAAGATAATTGAAAGAATCCGTTTACAATAGCTGTGTTCCGAGGTGACCCGTTCAACGCCTGAAAGGCCTCGAGGGTCCCCTCTGCCCCAGAGAGGGAATGCCTGCCGTGACGGAGGGACACACGGCTCCAGTT